AGATACTTCTCTCTGGCTTATTTCGCTCAGCATAATACTCTCCAGGTCCCTCCATGTCGTCTCAAAGGGTAAGAGAGCTCCCTTTGTTAGAGCTGCATAGTACTCCATTGTGTACATGTACCACAGCTTTTTTTTTTTATCCTCACCCGAGGACATTTTTCCATTTTTTTGTTCAGATAGAGTGGGATAGAGTGGGAGGGAGAGAGAGGGAGAGAGAGAAAGAGGGGGAGAGAGAGAAACATTGACGTGAAAGGGACACATCAAGTGGTTGCCACCCGCATAACCAACCAGGGCTGGAGACAAACTGCAACCGAGGTACGTGCCCTTAGCGGGAACCAAACCCGGGTCTCTCTGGACCGCAGGCCAAAGCTCTAACCGCTGAGCCAAACTGGCCAGGGCTGTACCACAGCATTTTTATCCACTCATCTACTGATAGACACTTGGGCTGTTTCCAGATCTTAGCTATTTTAAATAGTGCTGCTATTTAAAATAGCTAAGGGGTGCATATATTCTTTCTGATTGGTGTTTCAGGCTTCTTAGGATATATTCCTAGAAGCAGGATCACTGGGTCAAATGGAAGTTCCATTTTTAACTTTTTGAGGAATCTCCATAGTGTTTCCCACAGTGGCTGCACCAGTCTGCATTCCCACCAGCAGTGCACTAGAGTCCCCTTTTCTCCACACCCTCGCCAGCACTTGTTGTTTGATGATTTGTTGATGGCAGCCATTCTGGCAGGTGTGAGGTGATACCTCATCGTTGTTTGAATTTGCATCTCTCTGATGATTAGTGACCCTGAGCATTTTTTCTTATGTCTCCTGGCCATTTGTATGTCCTGTTTGATCAGTGAGAATGTTTTTAATGATGTGGTCTTGCAGATTCACTCTGGGACTGGACTGCTCTCACGGTGACCACACCTAGATGCACTGGGTTAGAGTCCAGTGTTGCTGTCTAGCTTCCCAATATCATGTCTGTCAGTGGGGAAAATCAACCTTACTCTTTCCCTCTCCTTCTCCCTCAACTCCAGTTCTGCCATTGACACAAATGTAGCACCCTGGGGTGGTCCTTGTTGGTCCCCGTGCTGGGCTGCCCTGTGGGTGGCTCCCTTTCCCCCTCCGCCCAGGTGACTCATGCCCTAGCCTGCCAGCCCACAGGGACACGTCCCTCACCCTGTTGAGCTCTGACATCCCACCGGGCAGCCTTCTTACAGGGCTTGCGGTCTGAGTCACCCCAAAGTGATATTTGCCGGTAGAGAAGAAAAATGGGTTTGTTAAACCTTTCCTCACAGTAATTTATCAAGATCCTCACATACTTGGTGTCCATGCTCAAATGTTTTTACAATGGGTTTCTTGGGTTAGAGAAATTGAGTTTCAGGTGGCTTATGACCTAGATAGATTTCTTTCCTGAATCATAACATGGCTACAAAGTATCTGTGAGATTGTTTCTGCTTTGTGAGTTTGTTTCTTTGAAGCATCCTTCTCAAGAGCACCAGTGAAACCATCCTGAGAACCATTTTCAGAGTTAGACATTCCATCTTTCACTGTTCAAAAAATAATGGAAGGGGATTTGGTGCGCAAGCCATTCTAAATCTGGCCAGTGTGGCTCAGTTGGGTGGGTGTCCTCTCATGCACCAAAAGGTTGCCAGTTAGATTCTCAGTCAGGGCACATGCCCGGGTTATGGGTTTGGTCCCTGGTTGGGGCACGTGTGGGAGGCAGCTGATCAGTTTTCCTCTCCCTTCCTCTCTCTCTAAAAATCAGTAAAATAAAAAAAAAAAGTCTGGGTGTGTTCATGTGCTTTGTGATGGAGACAGTTATTTGACTTTCTTGCCAAGCATATTGTTTATTTGTCTTTGTTTTGTTTTGCTTTTTTGTTTTTTTTTTGCAGTAATTACATACAGCTGAATCAAACTAAATTGTTTTTAAACATTTTTTATTTTATTTTATTTTTTTTATTTTATTTTTTGTTATCCTCACCTGAGGACATTTTTCCATTTTTTGTTCAGATAGAGCGGGAGGGAGAGCGAGAAACATCGATGTGAAGGGACACATCGAGTGGCTGCCACCCACACGACCAACCAGGGCCGGGGACAAACTGCAACCGAGGTACGTGCCCGTAGCGGGAACCGAACCCGGGTCTCTCTGTACCGCAGGCCGACGCTCCAACCGCTGAGCCAAACCAGCCAGGGCAACATTTTTATTTTTTAAGATGAGTAATTACATTAGTTATAAAACCAGGAATGTTTATTTTTTTTCAAATGTTTTATTATGAAAAATTTCAAGCATATGTATAGTTGAAAGTTTTAAGGTGAACATTCTTTTGGTCACCAAGATTCTACCATTAACTTTTTTTGGGGGGGGGCATTGTATTCTGTTTTCTGAAATTCCCTTAAACATATCTGCTCCCCACTGCACAAACTGGATGCGTTGGATTTCAAACTGCTTGCCCCTGATCCATTCCTTCTTAATCCAATGTTTGGAAGAGACTGATTTTAAAAAGTAAAGTTTAAACATTTAAAATTTTCCTTTAAATTTTTTTTAAAAGTTAAATTTGTTGTGGTGACATTGGTTAATAAAATTACACGGGTTTCAGGTGTATAATTCTGTATCATCTGTATGTTGTATTGTGTTCACTAACCCGCATCAAGTCTCCTTCTGTCACATGAATTTGACCCCCTTGACCCTTTTCTACCTCCCCCACCCCCTCTCCCTCTGGTAACCACCATACTGTTGTCTGTGTCTGAGTTTTTGTTTGTTGGTTCATTTGTCGCTACCATGAACATTTGATTACACTGTTTCCTCACCTGCTCTGCTCTCTATCTACCCAGGAACCCACCTGCTGCAGGGACTGTTGCAATTGTTACTAGGTTGTTTTATTTATTTATTCATTCATTTATTCATTCATTAATTATCCTCACCCGAGGACATTTTTCCATTTTTTTGTTCAGATAGAGCAGGAGGGAGAGAGAGACACACACACATACACACACATTGACGTGAAAGGGACATATTGAGTGGCCACCACCCACACGACCAACCAGGGCCGGGGACAAACTGCAATCGAGGTAGGCGCCCTTAGCGGGAACCGAACCTGGGTCTCTCTGGACCTCAGGCTGATGCTCTAACCGCTGAGCCAAACTGGCCAGGGCAATTTATTTATTTATTTGTATATTTTTTCCTCACCCAGGGCTATTTATTTATTTATTTATTTATTTATTTATATATTTTTTCCTCACCCGAGGACATTTTTCCATTTTTTGTTCAGATAGAGCGGGAGGGAGAGAGAGGAAGAGAGAGAGAAACATCGATGTGAAGGGACACATCGAGTGGCTGCCACCCGCATGACCAACCAGGGCCGGGGACAAACTGCAACCGAGGTACATGCCCTTAGCGGGAACCCAACCCGGGTCTCTCTGTACCGCAGGCCGACGCTCCAACCGCTGAGCCAAACCGGCCTGGGCCAGGGCTATTTATTTTTAATTCCTCATCTGAGGCTATTTTATCATTAGATAGAGTGGGAAGGGGGGGGGGAGGGAGAGAGAGAGAGAGAGAGAGACAGAAACATCAATATATCACCTGGTTGCTTCCTGCATGACCCTACCAGGGCCAGGAACGAACCGCAACCAAGGTCTGTGTTTGAATCCAACCCACGACTGTTTGGTCCGCAGGCCGACGCTCTAACCTCCGAGCCAGACCGGCCAGGGCACTAGATTGTTTTAATTGGGCGAATACCCCCGGTCCATGCCTCTCCATGCTACAGTTCTCTCTAGTGTTGTAAGAACCATCTTTCTAAAACACAACTCTTCCTATGTAACTTCTGTTCTTAAAACCGTCCCTACACCCTGTATCTTCAGAAAAACGCCTTCTGTCCTTTGCATACCTTTGCAGCTCATCGCTTACACAGCACACTCCTCATCGACCTACTCCAGCCGCCACAGGTACTGCTTCCAGTTCTCAATCATATAAGTCACCTGCCATCTCTGAGACTTTGCTCAGCCTTCTTTCTACCTAAAAATGACACTTTCCTTTCCCCATCCTCCCTAAACTCACTGTTACAGAATTAACGTGTGCAACTTGTGTGTATTAGAAGATGCAATTATATTCACCTCCCTCCCCGCCCCCAACTGCCAACAGCTCCAAGCCCTTGGATCCCAAGTAGCTCCCAGCCTTCCCTGATCTCTGTCTAGTTGCCCTTTACTCCATGTCATTCATGACTGCCTCGTTTTATGCGCTTCTCGCTGCTCAGAAACGCAAACGCCGGCTCTTATTGAAACCCCGGGGTGTAACGGAGTCTCAGGGCAACACTGAAAGCTGCGCTGGGTGCTCCGGGGTCCGCGCACCTGCTCGACCACCGGTACACCTGTCCCACTGCAGACGCGGCCAGTACGCATGCGTGCCAGTGGGCCCTGCAGCGCGCAGGCGCGGCCACGCTCGGCCCGGCCGACGGACACTGCCTCAGGCTGCGCGCTCCCTTCCGCCCGTCCCCGCCGCAGTTAATCCCGCCCAGCCCGCGTCTCACGGTCCAAACAGAGAAAGTAAACTCGGGCCCCCGCCACGGTACACGCGGCCTACTCGCGCCCACTGTCACCCGGAGATCCGCCTGCCGTAAAGCACGGCGCGCCAGCGGCTGTAAAGCGTTTACGACAGCCGCCGGGGCCAAAGTACGGCCGGCAGCGGCTCCCGCCCCGGCTTGAAACGTTTGGGGGGTGTGGAGCCGAGCGGGGTGGCCGCCTGCCCGTGTCCTTCCCGCGCTCGGCCCGGGCCCCTGGGAGGAGGCCTGGGCGCCGCGGCCCCTGAGGGGCGCGCCCGCGCCGCGCCTTCCGGCCGCCATCATCCCGGCGTGCACCGCGGCGGCGGCGCGGCGGCGGCCATGTTGCGGTAGTTTGTTGTTTTCTTCCTGCGGAGCAGAGGCCGAGCGGCCGGGACCGCCGCCTCGCTCGCCGCGTCCCCCGTCGTGCCCGCCGGCCGGCCGTCCGCTGGCGCGGCGGGGCGAGGCGCAGCAGCAGCATGGCGGCCGCGCTGGGAGCGGGCGGAGGCGCCGGCGCCGCAGGTACGTGAGCCGCCGGCCGGAGCCGCCGCGCCCGGGCCGCGTCCCCGTGGCCGCCGCGGGCCCGCCCGGAGCGCCCGCCCGGAGCGCCGGCCCCGAGGGCGGCGGCGGGGCGCGGGCCGGCCTGTCCCGGCGGGCGGGGGTCGTCGCCGCCCCGGGCCCTGCCGCGTCGGGTGGGCGCGGAGCCGGAGCGAGAGCGGGGCTGCGCGGCCCACCCGCGGGAGGCTCGGGTGTTCCCGGGAGGTCACGTCCTCCGTCGCGTGTTCACGTGGACGCGATGCTGGTGCGACCCGGACCTGTGAGCGGGTCGGGTGGGCGTCGCGCGCGGAGGGGACCGGACCCGGGGGCCGATCCGACAGCCCGTCCTGCCGGCTCGCCGTGCGCCCCCGGGCGCGTCCGTCCGTGCGTCGGTCTGTGTGTCCGCCCGTGTGTCCGACCGTGTGTCCGTCCGTGCGTCTGTCCGTGTGTCTGTCCGTGTGTCCGTCCGTCGGTCTGTGTGTCCGCCCGTGTGTCCGCCCGTGTGTCCGCCCGTGTGTCCGCCCGTGTGTCCGTCCGTCCGTGTGTCCGACCGTGTGTCCGACCGTGTGTCCGCCCGTGTGTCCGCCCGTGTGTCCGTCCGTCCGTGTGTCCGACCGTGTGTCCGACCGTGTGTCCGACCGTGTGTCCGTCCGTGCGTCTGTCCGTGTGTCCGTCCGTCGGTCTGTGTGTCCGCCCGTGTGTCCGACCGTGTGTCCGACCGTGTGTCCGTCCGTGCGTCCGTCCGTCCGTGTGTCCGACCGTGTGTCCGACCGTGTGTCCGACCGTGTGTCCGTCCGTGCGTCTGTCCGTGTGTCTGTCCGTGTGTCCGTCCGTCGGTCCGTGTGTCCGTCCGTGTGTCCGTCCGTGCGTCCGTCCGTGTGTCGGCCCGTGTGTCTGTGCTACCCCGACGGGACGAGACTTCGAGGGCCTCCCCGGACTCGACGGAAGTTGGACAGAGGAGACGCGGCGCTGAGCTGCCAGAGGCGCGGTCGCCATGGAAACAGCAAAGCCCACTCGTGTCCAGGGCAGAGCCCGCCTTCCGCCCAGTCACCCGGGCCGGGGATTCGGCCGCGCTGTCAAAAGCTTTCGCGCAGACAGGCGCGTGGACACGGTGACGTGGGTTCTCTGCGGGCCGAGCTCGTGTTTCTGTCTTTAGTGAGGTTTTTTGTTTTTTTGCGTGTTGGATCTTTCCAGGCTGTCGGGGTGAACTTTGACATCCAAGGTTTACTTTCCTCACTGGGTGACCTCCCGGGGTCAGAGTGGAGCGCGCGGCCTGCAACTGCTGGTCAGCGCCGGGGGCTGCGCATGCGCTCACGCCTTCCTGCCCGCGGGCTGGTGCGCGCGGTCTGGTCCACACGGTCTGGTCCACGCGGTCTGGTCCGGGGAGCCACCCGGTGCGGGAAGGCTGCGGCCTGCTGCCCTCCTTCCGCTGCGCTTCCTACGGCGTGCCCCGGCCCCACGCCCAGCTTTCGTTCTGTGTCAAGTATGTCCACCACCTGCCATGGGCCTCCCTCTCCGTCCTTCTCTGGCCCCTGGTGTTCTTCAGACATCTACTCCAGTTTGTGACGTTCTTTTCTTTTTTTAAAATATGTTTTTATTGATTTTTAGGGAGAGAGAGAGGAGCACCGATGAGAGAGAAGCATCCGTTGGCCGCCTCCTGCACGTCCCCTACAGGAGGTCGATCCCACAGCCCCGCCATGCGCCCTGACTGGGATCCAGCCAGGACCTCCCAGTCCACTGGCCACAGGGGCCAGGCATGTTTTCTTTCCTTTATAATCTCCTGTTGCCTGTGGTCTGTGAGCCCCGCAAGGACAGGAGCTCTGTGTTCCACGTTCCTAGCATGGACTGTTTGCAAGTATTTGCCTGGGTGAATCGGAAAATGAAATGTTTTTCCTCCCTCCCTCCCATCCTTTCTCTTAATCCTCACGGGAGTATATTTTCCCATTGATTTTTAGAGAGAGTGGGAGGGAGGTGGAGGGGAGAGAGAGAGAGTGGGGGAGAGGAACATTGACGTGAGAGAAACACATTGATTGGTTGCCTCCTGCACATGCCCCAGGTACCAAACCTGCAACCCAGGTCTGTGCCCTTGACCAGAGATTGAACTCTCAACCCCTTCGGTCCTCAGGCTGACGCTCTAACCTCTGAGCCATACCGGCCAGGGCTGAAGTGTTGTCTTTGTGAGTACCTTTTCACTCTCCCGTGCATGTGTAAGTGGCACATCCGCAGATCTGTGGCCTCTTATAGTAAAGTGGAACCACGTAGCGTTCTGCAGTTGCTTTGCCCACAGCAGAGTAGGTCGTGGGACTTCCCGGGTCTGCAGTAGGTGACAATGGATTGGACCCATCGTTGTGTAACCATTTCAGTCTTTCTCCTTTTTCACTGCTGTGGGAAAGACTGTACCAAACACCTGTAGACATGTCTTGGTGTGCGAAAGCCAGCATTTCTGGAGCATAAATTCGGCTACAAGTGGAAATGACATGTTTATCATTTTGGTAGCTGTTGTCAAGTTGTCCTCAAAAAGACTGGTACCATGTTATCCTCTCCCTCAGAAGTGTTCAAGAGTGCTCCATTTCCCATGTGCTTTTTAAGGAGTTTTTAATATTTTTTATAATCTTGAGGAAAAATAGCCTCAGTGTTGTAACTTATGTTTCCTTCTATTTTCTTTTTCTTTTTTTTTTTTATCCTCACCCGAGGACACTTTTTCATTCTTTGTTCAGATAGAGCGGGAGGGAGAGAGAGAGAGAAACATCGACGTGAAGGGACACATCGAGTGGCTGCCACCCGCACGACCAACCAGGGCCGGGGACAAACTGCAACCGAGGTACGTGCCCTTAACGGGAACCGAACCCGGGTCTCTCCAGACCGCAGGCCGCTGAGCCAAACCGGCCAGGGCTCCTTCTATTTTCATACATTGTATTTATCTTTCTGCTTGCTTATATATTTGTATTTTTTTTATTGAGTGATCTCTTTCTCATTATTTTAAAGAATTCTTTGTATATATTTTACGAGTTTTTTTGTAATGGTGTCGCCATGCCACGAGTTCTTGTATGCTTTAATGTTTTATGTGCCTTTTTTTTTTTTTTTGTATTTCGCTTTTATTCCATATGGGATTATTTTGGGTATGGTGTGAGTTTGAGGCTTTTCACAGTTCTAATACGATTTATTGAATTCTCCAATTCTCTATCTTCTCCATCTTTATAATATATTAGATTCCCATTTATAATTTTTAACAATATTGCTTCATTTTGGTTGTATTACCGTGTGTGTTTTGTCTTCCAGTGCTGCTCCTGAGAAATCTGATGACAGTTCTTTACTTCTGTGATGTTTTTCCTTTGCTCCCGTGCTCAAAAGTGTCATTGGCACAGGTCTTTCTGTCTTGATTATGCCATGCATTTGGTTGACACTTTAGTCTGGGAACACGCATCCTTCACTTCTGTGGAATTTTCTTGTTGTTGTTTTTCTGCCTTTCATTTTCTCTGTTCCCACCTTCTTTTTATTGGGTTTTGATGCTTTATTTTATATATAAAAAGAAGAACAGTGAGACAGTTCTTCGAGATTCTTTTGGAAGGATAGGTAGGTCGGCAGTAGACCAAGTGAAGTGACAGAGCAGGACACAGAGCCTAGAAGGCAGGCACCTGCGGTCCCTTCCTCCCCGGCGGGCTCTGTGCCGCTCTCTCTCGAGCTGCCTTTTTGTAAAGGCAGGAATCTTCTTCCTGTTTGGCCAAACGCTGTGCATCTTCAGCTGAGTTAGCTATGGTGAATTTGGATCCACTGTTCTAGATCTCTTGATATTTTTGTTCTTTTTTTGAGAGAAAATGGAACTGTATACTTGTATATAATTCTACTTGTAAAATATTGGCAACCAAGTTGATTGAAAAAAGAACATAATTCAGAGAGAGCATGTGTCTTGTAGGCCACCAGATCGTAGCCTGGGTGTCAGAGTGATTGATTCTGTGTGCGTGATTTATTAGGTACCACGTGTAAGTGATCCTCCTACCTGGACTTGGGGATCCTGGCTGCCCGGTGAGATTTCAGCACAGGAAATCAGAGGCTGTGTTTCTAGGGTTGCTGCTTTTACCTGGTAGACCTGAGCTGAAATCTGGATTTGCTGTTTACTAACTCTGGCTAGTCTGTTTTCACATCTGTAAAAGGAGAATTCGGGATGGATTAAATAAGAAAGCGGATGTAAAAATGCTAGCTGTTGACGTGAAATGGAGCCTGTTTTCAGTTCTTCAGTAGTGCTGGCATTAATGATTTGGGTTTCATCAGTCAGGAGAACAGAAGCTGTGTGATACATTCCAGGTATGGAGCGTTTAACACAGGGTCAGAGGCTTCGACAGCTCGGAAAACCTTCTCTGCTTATCTCAGCCTGATGCCAGGGCCTTGCCTGGGAGCCGTTGGGACTGAGGACCTGGGGAGCTCCCGTGGCCCGCTCGGTCTCGGCGGAGGAGCTGCCTTTGGTCAGCACTGAGGCTTGAGGGGTCGCTGTGACCAGCAGCTCCTACCAGCCCAGATACAGGGCGAGCTTCCGCGAGCACCCCGCCTGGGAGCCTCAGCGCCGCGCCCCCCTGCGCCGCCTGAGAGCAGCTGCGCCGCCTGGCCCGGAGCACGCCTCGCTCGCCTCGCTCGCCGCACCTCGAGGCAGCCGGGAAGCGGAGCCCAGCGACTGCAGCGCCATCCCTGTCACCACGTCTGTGCAAGGAAAAAAGATGGACGTTTCTTCAACTTCACCGATTTAGTAGCTGGTCTTTGGTATTTTACAAGAATTCAGTTTTTAAAAAGAGGGATGGTGTCATTTCCTCTAGATTCTAACTCGTGATGGGAACAGATATCAGTCTATTGGCCGAGCTCAGACTCCTCATCCTCTTCCAGGCGGCCCAGGATGATAGAGAACCAGGGGTCCAGCTTGCTGGCTTCGGTGTTGGGAGGCAGGGCCTGCTGTCTATCAGGGCTGCTACTGCAATCGGTTGCCCAACACAGGAAGA